AAAGTTAGCATGACATGTTAACTTATTGAGGCATTCAGTGCATTTGGTACGTCTAAAATCTGCTGCAAAAGTTCAAAATGTTCTTAATTTTCAGGGCAAATTCATTACAGGAGATATGGAAAGAGGAGTTTTGCAAACACATCGGACATCACTGAACTATGTATCACTGTAAGCTATGTTGACAAGATAAATGCATCAATGGTTTAGCATGTCACTTGACTTCCGGAGCACTTCCTCTTAATGGCGTGGCGTGAAATGGCCTTTTATACATCCATAGAAGCAAACACCAAAGAAAGCCAAATGCAAAAAGGAAAAAAAAAGGTTGATACTTTTATACTATACTATATCACCTGTTATACTAGTGAAAGCTATAGTCACCTGCCATCTGGGTTTGTTGTACACAGTTCTGGGAAGCTCTAAAAGCCTTTCTCTCAAAACTTGGTATACTTTTGATAATATTATATTATGCTGTGATCCTTGCTGCAGAGATTCATACTTATCCACCTCAAAGCCTTCCATCTCATGTGTTATCCTCTGTGAAAGGTGACTCTTTGTATGTGATTGAACTATGTTAATTCATACTTCTTTTTTTTGTTCTTTTATCTTTCTGCTTAATGGTGAAAATGCACTGTTCTGTTGAGTTTGTTGTTAATATATTATGATCTCATATTGTTTAATATTGCATTATTCTCTCATTTTCAACAATACAGTAACTGAGAATTATTGTTCATATGAAAGTAGTTCATTATGCAGTGATACATAGTATAGTGAGGGTTTCTGCATTTTCTTTTCAATATTGAAATGGACTCGGTTATATTGCTATTCTGTTTTTTGTCTTATCTTTCTGCCCATTTTACATTTTTCCTGTCTCACCATCCTGCAGCGACTTTGTTCTTGCTCTTTGCTCCTTCCCTTTAACATCTGTCAGCTGAGTATCATGTGTAGTTTAATAGGATGATTTGTTGTTACGGAGTCATCTGTCAACAAAAGCTGGAATGATGAAATGAGAGAGTGAGCGGCACTGTCTTGTCTGTAATGAATTATGCAGTGGGTCAGGGGCCTATGTTTTGGTTTCAGTCGACAGCACAAACACGGACCTCAGGTAGTACACTCATCAGTCCTGCTGTTTCTCACCATATGGAGTCAATGAACTGGGACAGCCTCCCACGCACGCGCACACACACGCGCACACACACACACACACACACACACACAATGAAATTCATGGCAATACAGTAGATAGATGTGTTTAAAATGTATTCTTCCAAATAACAGTGACATATTTAACTATTAATTATACCTGTAAAGTCATAGGCACATAAGATTATATACAGATTGTCAAACATAGAAGCACCAAGAAATGCTGACTGCTGATCCTATCCCCACCTGAAAAAATTGTCCAAAATTAATTTAAATAACATTACAAAAATAATTTAAAATTCCCTTGATGCCCTGGTAAAACAATTAAATACAAAAAACAGTTCACACTGTATTGGTCAACCTTTTTACCTTTTTTTTTGTGTACGTCTTCCAGTGTTTAATTGCATGAAACCATTCACAGACAAATTAAATTAGATGTTCCCGCCTGTACAATTGAGATATCTGTTACAGATGATGTGCCGTATAATGAATACCTAATTTATGTAATTAGACCATTAAGCATAATCCGAGCATATGTTGTCAATGCCCTGAGGTCTTCTTCCAGGTAATTCCCTCTGATGTCACCCAGAAACAACTAATGGGCCGGGCTGCTGCAGGACTATAATCCCGTTGTTTGATAAAATAAACACACACAAAAACACATTAACCATGCTTTGATTTCGAACATATAAATTCTGCATTATTCTGATTTCCTTTTCTGGTAAAAAAAAAAAAAAAAAATCATATTCAAGAGGGCATTTAAAGATGGCCTTTAAATAGTGTGAATATTCCGTCATATGGGCTAAATGTGCCATTGAGGAGGTTCTTGTGAGAGCCCTCTGTCTGCTAATTAATTGTCATTCTGCTGAATATTCATACCTTATCATCAGCGCGTCCTTAATTGCACCGTAAAACATCTCTGGGGGCTGAAATCACCACGGACTTAATTAGCAGCACAGGCCTATTGGAAGGGTTTGAGAGTCACATTTTGCAGCAGACAACAAGATGTATCTGTTTTCACTGAACGTGTGTTTTAATACAAAAACCCAGGTAGATAACAAATCCCTTTTTAAATGGCCTGCTCATGATAATCTGCATGACAATTTTTTTTTTTTTTAAATTGCTGGAATTTACACTCATAATTAACTTGGATTATAAATGTTTGTTTTAATGATGCGAATTTGTTCACCTCTAGCAATGATTTGTCTATTTATAGGTTGGTTAGTGGCCTAAATATACATTGCCTACAGTTAGCAACCTGCTCTGAGAACCTGCAAGGGAAAGTAGAAAAAACAAAAATCACCTAAAAATATATTTTAGTGCCAAGAAAAATGTACACCTACGTTTTCAATACATTCAATAAAAAACACAGGTCAAATGTGGATTCTTTTTCTGCTATTAATTAATATTGACTTAAGCTCATTCCTTGAATAAATGTTTTCCTGTGTAATTACCCTCAGCTTTAAATTTCTCTTCATCGTTCCCTGAAAGGCAGATTTTTCCCTCTCCGTAGGTCTGGGTGGCAGCATATCTCAACTCGATTCAGTGTGACAATATTGTTTGGCTATCATTCGGTGCTTTAGAATGAATGGCATCGATCCTCTTTTAACAACATTTGTTTCCTATTGTGTTCGGGGGTGCAGCAGAGGAGGGCAGACGTGTGAAAGTGGCTGTTTGATTCTCTTTTTCATCCCCATGACCTCAGCTTTTGTGTCTCGTCACCCTGGGAATGTCACGCCTCACTACTCTACTTTAAGATGTTTCAGAAAGTGCCCTTTGTTTTCGCTCCTCTTTTTTTGAAAGCTCACACAAAATTGTTCTTGGTCCCCCTCCTGCTATAAAGGATACTTCAGGCTGAGGCACGGTTCACAAGTGCAATGCAATTTGGCTTATCCCAACCTTTGTTCGGGTTTCTACAAATGACCAAACATAGTGCAGACTTGATCTACTGCTGCTTGAACTCAGGAGTTTGGGAGCAGCTAAAAACCCTATTCAGATTCAGAGTCATGGTGGTATTTTCAGTGTGTGCATTCGACGGAGACAAAAGGTCTACCAATATCCCATAACCCTGAAGCTCAAAAAGCCACACCGTCTGTGTGTGAGAGCAGAGAAAAACTCTTACTGCTGCTCTGTGGCTCGGCTGGTTAATGCGAGTGTTGCAGGTTAACTTGGAAGGCACTAACTTGGCGTGGCAGCAAGTTAGCAGTGCAAACATGAACAAATAAAAGAGACAACGATTAGTCATTTCAAGAGTATAATGTAAGATTAAGCATCATGCGTAAAATTGCTGAATGGTGGAATTCAAAGGATTTGCATCCTTCATTGTTTGCAGAGCGATTTGTATCAGCACATATTAAACACATTTCACAATCATATTATTTGCACGTAACCAAGTCAGTCTACCGATTTGAATGCAAATGGACCCAATAATCTGAGTGACACCCAATATATGTTTTTAAAGGAATGAATAGGCTGGATGTCAGGAGATATTTGGTACTTGGCAGTGTGTTGTCATTATCCGCGGAGTTTGAGATGGGTTGACTTGGCCACTTCCTTTTGGAAAAAAAAACCTTTTCAGCTCAACATTAATGGGAAATGACAGGTGTTAAAAGCCACTCAGGAGAAAAAAGACTGCACACTGGAAGTTTTAGACAAGACACTTGACACAAAAGATGACTTAAAATAGGCCTTTTATTAAATAACGTATAGTATAAAAATAATTTACTAAAACTGGATCATTTGTATGGAATGGTCCTTTTTTCGATATATTTGTTTGTATTAGTTCAGGCTTTCATGCAGTGCTTATAGCACGGGGGAAGCTCTTCTTCAGCCTGCTTCGGTTTCTGGGTGAAAATAGCTCTGTGTCCCCCGCAATGCGATTCTTTTCGTAATCCGTCAGACTGGTGATGGGGTGCATTGTGGATTTATGGGGGGAAATTTGCATAAATTATGAGCAAATCTGCGTGTGGTCCCAGGCATTGCAAACCCTCCAAGCGGAAAAGGTGGCCTGGCCAAAAGCTTGAATAGCAATAGCTCAAAATAGGCTTCCCATTTGGTTTTCACATTCATATAATTGACTTATGGATATTTTATACAGTTTTCACCACACCATCCTCAAGGGTTTATTTGCATTTCTGAAGTACTTTTGGATCTTCTTTACATAAACACAATAGACCTGATTGCCTCATGAAGTTTCAGTTTGAACAGCGTTGTTTGCATTGTGTTGATGTTTTCATATCGTCTACTTCCTCTGCGCAGCTCTGGGCCAAATTAGCTGAGAAAAACTAATAGTAGGCTCATCAACAAACTTGCTCATGGCAAATTATTTTGTATGGCATTTCGTAAACAATATCAGGCTGTAATTAGAGGGGAGCGATATGCATTTTAATAACATTGTATCTGTTAGATTATTGTTCACTCAAATCCACATCATAAAAACGGTTAACACTTGAAAACTGCACTCATTGCACACACCACTGCACAAACAGTGTTTTTAATAAATAAATCCTTATATCAAATATAATACACACCTGCCTTAACAACTGCACAAATAGTTAAAAGCACATTTTATCACATACTATAATTAAATTACAATATGCCGACTTTTTTTTCTCGTTTCCGTTAAAATACTTTTGTTTTTTTAATTGTTATTATACTGTAAAGTCCGCTGAAAAAGTATTAGCGCATACCTTCACACACTGAGTGCCATCGCAGTTCAATTCCGGTTGCCGAGCCTTTTCACCCCTTTTTCTGTCTTCAAATGGAAATGATTTCCATTGGCCCAAGGTGTCCATGTAAATAGGTGTAAATGAAACCAGATTATGCCTTCCTCCCAGCCCCCTCCTCCCATGGCAATTGTCATGTGATAGCAAAGAGGTGGCACATTAATGGAGCGCCTCTACAGGGGTCTTTTCTGCTCATGTCACTACATAAAACTATCAGATGGTTAGAGGAAGGCCATGGAGGCATCCACTTAGCTCGTCTTATCAAGGACGCCAGATGAAGTCTATTCAGCTCTGCTAGCGGGACAAGCTGACTTACTTTGCAAGCAAGACTTACAGCAGCCTTCCCTCCATAAATGTGCACCGTCCGCCCGCCTGCACACTGCAGAGGCGCTCAATCTGCCTGTTTTACGCACAACGCAACTCGAGCCTGAGCGGCATTGCAACTTTTCTCCGTGGTTGTTTTCATGAAGAGCGGGAAGCTTTCGTCAAGGAACTAAGGGAGACTACTTTTTTTAATTGCTTTTTTTGAAAATATCGAGGATGCCTCGCCCTGGAAGAAACACGTACAGCGACCAGAAGCCACCTTACTCCTACATCTCCCTCACAGCCATGGCCATCCAGAGCTGCTCGGAGAAGATGCTGCCTCTCAGTGAAATTTACAAGTTCATCATGGATCGATTCCCTTATTATAGGGAAAACACTCAGCGGTGGCAAAACTCTCTGCGACACAACCTGTCCTTCAACGACTGTTTCATTAAAATCCCCCGGCGCCCGGATCAGCCAGGCAAGGGCAGTTTCTGGGCTCTGCACCCCAGCTGCGGGGACATGTTTGAGAATGGAAGTTTCTTGAGACGCCGCAAAAGGTTCAAACTGTTGATGTCCGCCGAACACTTGGCCCAGAGTAAGCAGTCGGATGCTGCCCATTACCTCCAGCAGCAAGCCAAGCTGAGGCTGAGCGCCCTGGCAGCCTCTGGCACACACCTGCCCCAGATGTCATCTTACAACCTCGGAGTGTCTCAGTCCTCAACTTTTAAGCATCCATTCGCCATCGAGAATATCATCGCCAGAGAGTACAAGGTCCCGGGAAGCCTGGCGTTCTCCACCATGCAGTCCATGTCTGCCGGGTACCCGCTGCACAACCAGCTGACGACAGCCTGGCCCCACATGTACAACACCAGCATGATTGACACGGTGGCACCGATCTCCATGGCGAGCGGCGACTATAGTGCCTATGGCATGCCCCTCAAGTCCCTGTGTCACGGCGGACAGATTCCTTTGCCCATCAAGCCCACCCCGACCTCCATGGCCGGCTTCTCGGCGTTACCTCCACACATCCCCGCGTTTCTATCAAACTCTCCGCAGTCTCTGAGCCCGACGTCCCCTCAGACAGCGACGAGCCAAAGCAGCCCTGCGACCCCGAGCGAGACGCTGACGAGCCCCTCCACACTGCAGTCTGTGGCGGTGCACTGACCAGCGGGACTCTCCCAGTAGAACCAGCTGCTGGCCGGCTCGCAGGCCGCTTTACCAATCCCAAAGTTTATATTTTCTGTCGTCGGAAACTATCAAGGCGAGTTGCAGTTGCATATCGAATTATTTGTGTATGTGTTGAATGTGTCGCTTTAAATTGTGTCATAGAAGTCCAGCACAGGATCGCACAGCGAAGTATTGCTCTTGAAAATATAAATTATTTGATAGTTCTATTTTTCAGTTTATTGTGAAATGTGAGTGTTGAAAGTGGAGTTGTTTTGGCACCATCAACTCTCATTTTAAGTGCTTGCAATTCCCGTGGCAGTTTTTCAGTTTTATCAAATAGCAACACTTTTGCACCGTTTCTGTGTGACCACTGTAATGTCAATGAAATTGCGAGGCAATGCCTGTGTTTTTTTGTTTGCTTTTTAATACTGGAATGATGGATAAGGGTATACCAAATAGGAATAGGATTTAGATTTGTTCTTACCATCACTGTACATAAAAGAAAACAAAATGAGTTATCAAATATTTTCCAAATGGAAAAGTAGTATGAGACTTCCTCAGAATGCAAGATGTGAATATTGCAAATAACTGATACTGAAATGTTGTAAAATGCACTTTTTAGTTTTATGTTTTAGATATCTATTTTCCAGAAAATGTTCTGTGAAGAATTTAATTTAAAAGGCTGTGGTGACCATGTGTATCAGATGCTGTACATTTGTACTTTTGTTTTTTTTAGGTAAAGCATGCATTCTAAAAAATTGTGTTGGTACTGTTGTTGTAAATGTTGTTGTTTGTTTTTTGTTTGTTTATTTTTTGCAAGCATGCGTGCTTTCGAAAAGTGTGCAAAATCTGCAATGAATTGGAAAAAAGGTCATCGAAATATTTTCTCATTAAAAGTGAAGTAAACAATCAAACGTGTTTCTGGAGGTTTAATGTAAGACACTGTCACATATTATTATTATTTGTATTTGTATTATTACTATGTATAGGTATTTTATATAAACAGTTACTATTCAATTGGCAACATTTTTTTTAACTCTTAAAACTCTTGAATTGTTGCTATATCTTAATTAAATGACAATATTAAGTAAAGCAAAAATAATGCTTACTTGTAAACATTATATTTGAATTGGTCCTGTTTTCAGGCCTGTATGAATTGAGAGTGTGTGAGTGGCTCAGCAGCAGTGGGAGAGAAATGAATCGTGCAGTCGATTAGGATGCATGGAGTTGCGATGCCATGGTCACAGCGCAGACAACTGGCCTCATTCATCACTCTGTAGGCTAAACACAATTAAGCCCAATAATAAATAAACATTTTAAAACATGCAAACAATGTCCGAATTGATTCTTGTTGCAGATTTTTGTCATGTAGGTTTTTTCCGACTACAAAAATCGTGGGAATTTTATTCAACAGGTTAAAAAAACAGACGGAAAAAAAAAAATGTAAACACATTTTATAAAATATTCTACATTCCTTTATTCGATTTGTTTGCAGGATTAAAAAAAGAACGCGCTTTATTTGCCTCCCCCTATAGAAAGCAACAGCCTATTTCGGGGTATTAAACAAATACATTAGAATTCCGTCACTTTATGCAATCCAGTAGATCAAATAAAGGGTCTCGGGCCACTTCATTCTCCCTCATTCACTTGAATTGAAAGTGCAAAGAATAGCAAACTTAGACTGGGCCACCAATGTAGATTTAGCCTTTTTTCAGCAAGACAAAAAGACTGATTTTTTCACAAACACATTGCTGACTGGGGAACTAGGAAACGAGCTGCAAGACCCTTTTGGAATTTAAATCCACCCCTCCCCCATGGACTGTTTGGACAACAGTGTTAGTTTTTTTTCTCCCTACTTTGTGCATCTGTGTGTGTAACATTAGCCCTGATGATTAAATGTATTGAAACTGCAACAGCAGATTACAAGCTTTAATTTTAAATCAGATTTACATTTTTATGGTTAGGCAATTCAATTCGATTTAAACTATATTAACACACACATATAACTGTTTCATTGAAAACATTTAAAAAGAATAACATAACTACACATTTAAACTTGTGATTTTTTTCTATTCAATTGGAATTCAGTGTACTTGTCTTATTTGGTGTATATTGCACTCTTATAAATAAAAATGTTGATGTTATATAAATAGACAAATGTCTTAAAATAACCTTTGTAAGTCATTCCTTGTATATTCATCCCAGAATGTGAAATGTAAAAATAACCAAAAGTTTTAATTTGATGTATTATGTGCTGCTCTGGAACATAAATGCAATATTCAAAATGCAACATCCTGTCGTCCTATAATAATGTTTCAAGACACAGTGCAGATGTTCCAGGGGATTTACTGAAATGTAGCACATCAAGGATATAAAGTCAGTTTAAAAAAAGGCTTTCGGCACTCAAACATTTTAACAAACACCTTCAGCTTTTGCTCAAAATGTTAAAATGAGCCTATTAATGAAAACCCTAAGAGAAAAAGTGGGAAACCACAGGTAACAGGCGGGAGAGAGAGGAAACTCATATTATACCTCATCATAGCAAACTACTTGCAAACCTGATATGTTGAAATTGCAATAATTAGTGTGGAAACAGTCTTTTTCTTAATAAAACCTTTGAACAATACTGTTTCTGGCACTATATTTTTTTAATCTGCAAACATGGCCCCAGTGTTTTCTTGCATAATAAAAATATATAATTTTCTTGTAGATTCTGCCTATTATACATTGTTTCCATATTTTCAGTAGCAACAGTATGAACTTAGTCGTCCAAGTCTGCATTGTCCTTGTTCCCTCAACTATGTTTCACTTAGACAAAGAAGAAGGTCATCTTAGGCAGGGGATGAAATATAGACCACATGCAAAACCTCAATGTTGTAGTTTAATTAAAATAATTCATTAAAGTGGAGGCCCAAGGTAATTAGCATGTATAATTTATGATTTGCTTAATGCATGCAGGCAGTGGCCTCCGCAATAAACTCAACTTAACCTCAAGTAGGGAAGTGATACGGACAGGGTGCTGTTATTTACTGTGTGTTTATTGTTTGGATATTTGTCAAAGACAGAGTACATGTTTCATAAACCCTGGTCGTTGTCTGCTTCCATGCACACAAACAACTTATTTGTTTATGAGTTTATCTTGTGGATTTATGCTCACTCATACAAGGAGCTGTCAGGTCTGTTGTGAGGGAGAGATATTGGGAATTGCCTTCCCTTTTTTGCCATACATTGTCACGGTTATACCAATGGTCACTAGTGTTGAAAAGTAGTTTATTCTGTTTCTTTGAGCTGACAGAATGAGGACATGGATAAACACCAAATGGTAGCTCCGCTCCTCTCCCACAGCAGACTGTCAGCACTGACTTTTAGAAAAATAATCAGTGATAGTCAAAACTTGCATTAATTATGCTCGGCAAATGTGTCAATCTTTGACAAGCCTTTTGACATTTTGAAACATGGCTAGTGGCTATATTTGATTATTTCTTGCATGTGCTTGTAGTTTTTTATTAAAACAACAACATAAAACAAATATTTTCAGATGGTGCTATGGACCTAGTCAACTGATTTATTTCAGTGGAAAATAGAGCAACGCTGTATTCTCCTGACGGGAAAGAAGCAACTAAATGCATGCTATCATTCTTCAAACACATTTTACACATAATACACCACCTGCCTGTAGTAAATGTTACTCATTAGATAATTGTACAGATCATATTTCTGTTTTATTTGAAATTACAATAAAATGTTAGAGCATGGTGATTTTATCCTGCAACTGAATTCCTTGTGGTGCACATCATCATTATGAGACTCTATGGTTAAGGCATCAGTCCTAATGTGTGACTCCCAGGTTAAATACATTACATGGCTGTGTCAGGGGGCAAAGGTCAGGTATAGTGGGCAGCTGAGGGGAGAGGCAGCGGGATTCAAGGCTGGCTCAGCCAAACACCCATGTGTGCATGAAATTAGAGTGTCAACATCTGATTCATGCTGCTGGGTGGTGACTGTGAAACAAATTATGTCAGCGGGTGGCAGTGGCAAAAATTCCACTCAGCTGCTGCAGACGTGGAAATTACAACAGGCCGTAGATATTGTTCTATAAATGGGATGACACTTTTTTTATATAATAAAGTTAAGGATTTTCAGTTCATCCTCAAGCTCATCACAAAATGAGTGAAAATGCATTTTCAAAGAATTGTGTTTTCTTTGTTTTCTCGAGCTGCAGAACTTGATATTTAAACTCTCTGTAGGAAGTGGGAGTTGTAAAGAAGATCTAATGGTTCCTGGAAATGGGGTGATAATTGTTATTCAAGATAAGGATGCATATTGTCACAGACACAGTGTGACACATGAACGAGTTCCTATTCTCTGACATGTCAGCAGCAAAGAAAGGTTCTAATAGAAACTTGTTAATTCTATAGATGTCATTTTGAATGTCTAAATACATTTTTTTAAAGTAATACATCTTTTGGGGCTCTGGGTGTTTCTTAATTTTTCTAAATATGTCTGCGGAGTTTCCCAAATCTGTAGGATACGGGTTTCGCAGTCGAGTGACTTTCACTGACATATTTTCAGTGAACAATAGGTAATGTAACACGTTTCTGTCTCTGAACACATGGATCTCTTGTTATTGGATCCCTCAGGATCAGCAAGTGTTGGGCGGGTTTAGACATGTGAGCCAGACAACCAACAGAAAACTAATACATCAAATTTCAGGCTCCAACACTGTCAAACTCAACCTCCAGCCATTACATCTGACACACAGGTTCTTCTTCTTAATTTCATCGTTAAAGTGGGGTCAGCAAATGGTTAAAATCACTAATGTCTAGACTTGTTTTCTGGCTGTGTACACATTGGGCAACAGTTTCTTATTCTGTTGTGATAATTGCTAATCAATCTATTTAAAATCCCCAGTGTTTCATTTGGCATGCCTGTGAAAGGTGTGTTCTGAGAGCAAAAGTGCTCGCTCTGTCTCAGCTTGTCATGTGTACTCTACATCTGTTGCACTTGCAGTTTATCAGATTAGAAACTTGTGTTTTAATTCCAACAAGTCCCGCGGCTACAGTTTGACCAAATGCTTGTTCAGACGGAACCTCAGTGTGGGAAGCAAGCTTAATACAAACATGCTGCTTTAATGAAGGTACTTAACAGATTTGACACCACAATGTTTTTGCTTCTCAAGTGCTTTAGCTCTTACGTGTTAGAACTGTAACAGATTCTGTGTATCTTTTTAGCAGCCTGCCATTTCCCCTTTTAAATGTGGGACGAAGAGCTAATTTATCACCTTTCTTTGGGATCTTATCGTACCCTCTCTAGCCATAAACTAACACTTGCACAGGACTTCAAAGGTGCGCTAGGTAGCAGAGGTGAGAAAAGGGCCTACATCTACTTGGGGGCCAGTTCCTTCCAGAGATGAGATGGAGCTGATTAGCAGGGAGTGTGCAGCAAGCCCCGTGGGGGCAGCAGCTGGAGGAGCAGGGAGAGGTGTGAGTTTTGACAGCTCCTGTCTCTCCCCTCTGGATACTGCAGGGTCAGGGCACCCACAGCGGGCCGGGTCTGCGCCGCATAGGAAGTCAGCAGTAATTGCCATTCAGCCAGTGGGACAGAAACAGTGGCAACAATAACCAGTGAAGAACACACAGCCCGTTTCCTCTTTGTCTTCATGTGTTTGAGGAAGGATGCTACCTCCTCTCTGACAGAACAAAGCCGCAATAAAGTTCCCACAATCAAATAGCGTCTTGCAGAAGCAACAGAGGAAGACGTTTCATTCTGGTGTAGCTGCGCACTTCTCCTACCCCAGAGAAGGTCCAGATGGCTGCTTGTTATTGCATAACAAGGCTGCATTGTTTTGTTAATGTAACTTCATCTGTCTTTGATGTCATCTCATGTTGGCATGGCCAGTGTGAAAATCCCCATCAAGTGCATGATCCAGCACTACGCTCATTGTGATTGTGATAATCTCCTGCATTGAAATTCCACTTTGTTCCTTTGTTTCTTTGTCAGAGAACACAATGTGAGGTTAATTAGCAGCCACTGGTAACCTCTGCGTTCCTGGATCCTTCATCACAGCTGAAGTGTACTCTTCACTGGGGCCACTGGCACTGACAAGACCAAACACAGGGCCTCGAGCCAATTGAAAGCAAGCAGAATACAAACGCAGAAGCAACTAAATCCCTTTCACACTAACACACAAGCCCCAAAAGTATCAACTGTAATTGTTTTCTTCACGTCATTAATTGCTCCAGCCATTGTTTCCTTTCTTTGAATGAAAATACACAGAGGATGAATTGACTAAACCAGAGTATACATTGATAGTGGCAGAAAAGGTTGCAG